AAAACCATTTCATACTTTATACTAGATATTGTATACTTGCAGTAAATCTTATAATTTATGTACACATCTTCATAATGGTTGCAAAGTTTACCAATATAATTAGATATGAATATTTATGGAAAATTGAAAGATACAAAAATAAGTAAAATGTACATGATGTGCAAAAATGTATAAAATATCCAATGTTTAATAGATAAAATTATTTTCTACCTAAATTCTAATTACATTTGTGAAGATAATACTTTGCTTAAATATCCTCAGCCTAATTATGATAATCGTAACTCATTGCAACAATAATGAAATTTCAAAACATTTTATACAACAACATATTTATATTAATTTATACACAATATACGAAAATTTTCTATACTCTCGCAAGTCATTGTATCATGATTCAACGTACCCCAATGATCCTTCTGAACGTCGAACAATTATATATTTTCTACATAATAGGTGAGTAAGAAACTAATGAAACTTACCACGTCGACACCATCAATGGTGCACAGTTCGAAACTTTGGTTTTTCGCATCGAGAATAACGTTCACCATTGCGCACATTTCCGATGGAATGATGTAATCGGTGGAGATAAAAGTTACGCCTTTTTTCAGCCATTGTTGAAACGCAGCATCTGTTCGTTGGATACAAGTATCGATCATGTCGCATGCCATTAACGTCAATCTCTGCTCTAGATGTTGTCGAAAGTCTTGATCTGGCCAATGAAGATCGCGAATGAAAGATTGCAGAGCATCGAGTTTCCAGAACAATTCGGCAGACGTGGCGCATCCGTTCCCTTTTATCTCCCAGCGTTCCTTTTCGAAACCTTTGAAAATCGACTGTGCGATCGATGTTTCCATTAAATCCACATAACGCACCACCATTGGAGAAAAAGTATCGCGAAGATGTTGATGGAACCTGCCATTCTTCAAATTATCTGCGAACCGAGATAAAAGAAATTAATCTTTCTTCTGTGTTGTTTTGTGTGTGATTTTAAAAATTCCACTATGATTGAAATAAATAAGAAAAATGAACAAAAGGATTAACTTGCAGAGAAAGTGTCTCGTCGTTAATTTTAACGAAGTTTCCTTTAATTTTTTTTTTTTTTTTTTCGAAAAAATTGAAATTCAACGATCTCGAAAAAAATAAATTATATTCTTAGAAAGAAAAATTCGAAAGATAATCTTTTTAGTTTTTTGCATGAACTTCTTCATACTATAATTACAACTTTGTTTTTTAAGTATAAATCAAAGATTCAATACCATGAAAAAATAAAGGGATATCTTATAACAAACGAACAAATACTGTAGCGAATAATATTTTAGATTGAATCCAACTGTAATATTATAAATAAGATATTTATCTGCTCGGGATCTTAATGAGAATCCCATTAAAATTTCGTGACGAGGCACATTCTCTGCAAGAGAAATATGCTAGAAAAATCTAACAGAAGAACGCGTACCATCTTCCCTCAAATAGTCGTTCAGGATTTTGAAGAGCGGGAAGCTGTCCCAAGTGTCCCGTGGTTGTTCGGCGAGCACTTTGTCCATATCTTCGGCAAACAGGGACCAGAAGATCTCGGCGTGCTCCACCATAAGATCGCTAAACCAGGCGAACGCCTGCGGTACAGTGTAGTAGGAGCGGCTCGTGAAAATATTGGACGTCACACATACACGCGGAGGGCATAAGTATAATGTAGAACTCAGGGCGATGGGATCGTCGCCCTGAGCAAAGAATCCTCGAGTGCACGCAGATACGATAAGAGCTATTGATCGTGTCTGATCTTACACGTAATTTACATTATGTATGTCTACTACTGATTCTAAATGATCTGAATAACTAAAGCAATTCGTGGGAACACGTGAGCATAGAGATGAAACTTCATTGAAGGAACAACTTGAGAAACTTGACGTTACAGTAGAACTCTTCTTATATGATCTTGAAGTTCATATAATTTGGAGTTTCAGTTTAAATAAGTGAACTCAATGGAAATTCATTTAGGTAATCTAATTGTAAGCATTAACTAAAATTTTGATTCAAATAAATTAGAGTCCATATAAACGGAGTATATTGTACATTGTTGAACATCGTTGTTGCTGAATGTTTCTCTAAATTTCTTGTAATTTTTAAATTCACATTTTTGAAAATATAATTGGAGAAACAAGATCTCGATAGAAAGTTATTTTGTATGTCAAATACCATAGAAAGCTGTACTGGATGTTTTACATATTTCTTCATATTCTGTGCATTTTGTGTGTAATTCCACACTTTAAAATTTATTATACATGCATAAAAATTCGTAGTCTGCTAATGATAAATTTTTCATAATCAATGCCAATTTTTTTATATTAAATATAATGCTATTATTGCTGCTGTCAATAATAGAGAAATAGGGATCTGCGATACTTCGAATTGCTTTAAATATATATGCATGCTATGTATATATGTATATACAGCAAAAAATTGGAATCATTTCGAACATTCAATGATTCGAAGTTTAAAATTCTTGAGAATTTTGATAAATCTTAAGTCATTTTAGACATCGTAATAATACGTAATAATAAATGTATTTTACAACAACTACATTGCACATTTTTATCACTTTCTAACACTTGTAAAATTTGAGGGCGCAATGCATATAATATATAGAAATATATCTATTTTATATATATCTTATACATCTTTTATATCTTGTAAAATGTACAAGATAAGTAGAAGATAAAAATATACAAGATATATTTATTATAATATTATATTTATTATAATATTTAATAGAAGAAGCAAATTTCTATTTAGGTTCTATGTTTAATACTATTTGAACTAGAATAATCAAAAGGCTTGTAACACATTTATCACTCTATCGAACTCTATTGCAACTCTCAAGAAGAACATTCAAGAAGATTAAGATCTTCAAAACTTTCAAGACGATCAAGACTTTTGAGAGTTTAAAGACTCAAGAGACATCAAGACTTTCAAGAGTTTCAAGCGGCAAACCATGTTTGTAGTTCGATTCGAATCTGTCGTCGAATATACAATACAGATTTGAAGTGATTCGAAACGTCTCAAATCCCATTACATACTATAGAAAAAAACGTGTCAACATGAGAACAAATGTTCTTTCAATGTGTACAGGACGTAAGAAAATTACATGTCACGATTATCGTAGTTTTAAATCTTTGGATTGATGAGGATTTGTAAAACAAAGAGGAAGTAAATTTGTCCTTGAGTTTTGAATTCAAGTTTATACATCTAAAGGTATAAAATTGAATTACAATAGACGTGACATCCTGTATATTTTGTTATTTGCTTTATAAAGTATTGTTAGAGCGCATTGAAATAACGGATTGCAATCTAATTATTAAGTTGATTGAAGAATATAGATATAAATGAATTTGTGTTTAACAAACAACATGAATGCAGAAAAAAATGCAAAATGTTCTAACAATACTTTATAAAGCAAAAGAAATTAGCAAAAGTTTTTGAAGCAGATGTAATAGAAGCTAAACAAGAAGTTTAATTGTTTTTATCATAGAGATATACTTCTCTATTATGCAATAGCACTGCAACTACAAATAACAAACTATAAACTAACTACTAGACTTCGTAATTTTCAATTTGAAGCAAACTAACTACACTTGTGTCTGAACAACTTATAGATAAAAAAGATATTCTTAAAATTGAAACTTGAATATTCCTATGAACAATATGAACATGATATTTGCTGGATTTTTTGGAACATGCAGCAACAACAGGCAACGAAAATATTCTCGTTGTTGCTTCAAAGAATATAACTTAAGCATGAATGCAATTTCATGTGAACATGAGTATGTGAATATAATCATGAGACTGCGGATTTTTATTCTCAAATTCATTTTTGAGACTGTAAGTTAAAAAGACAGAATCTTAGTAAAAAATTGTTTTATATACTGAATATTATAAAAAGTACTATATTTTAGATATTTCATACATTTTTCAT